CATTAAGCGTCTGCCTTCGGCTCAGGTCATGATCCCAGGGTCCTGGGATTGAGCCCCGCATCAGGCTCCCCACTCCGTGGGAAGCCTGCTTCTCCCTCTCCCTCTCCCACTCCCCATGCTTGTATTCTCTCTCTCGCTGTGTCTCTCTCTGTCAAATAAATAAAATCTTAAAAAAAAAAAAACTTCATCTTAAAAAAAAAATTTTAAAAAATAAAAAAGATACAAAATAAAGCATGACTCCTAAAGTGCCAGTCTGTGTTTCTGGCTCCTTAAAGAATAAACTTTTTCTTTTTTTAAGATTTTATTTATTTATTTGACAGAGAAGCAGAGGGAGAGGGAGAAGCAGACTCCCCGCTGAGCAGGGAGCCTGATATGGGACTTGATCCCAGGACCCTGGGATCATGACCCGAGCTGAAGGCAGATGCTTAACCAACTGAGCCACCCAGACACCCTAGAGGACAACCGTGAAAAGAACCAGCCTGTGGAGATGGGTAAGCATTTTGTTTCTAGTTTCTGAATGGCCCTTTAAATTGAGAGAGGTTTTAGGCCTCCCAGCCTCTCTGGCTGAGAGTAGCATTTCTACATGCAATCTCTCTACCGCTTGGTGGCATTGGCCTTTCGTAATTGCAGACACAATTGAATCGAAGCAAATTGATGAATTGCCACATTTCCTCCAACTATTTTAAGGGTTGCATATAGGATTTTACTAGTCCAGAACCAGAATGTGTAGCTTAGGGAACAGAGGATCCTAGTTTCCCCGATGATGTACCAGCTGGTTCCTTAGTAATCACAAAGTCAGAAGTGCACACACCCACCCCTATGATCAGAGACTCATACAAGACAGTGCAAATAAAAAGAGGATGTCTTTAGGTTTGCCAAACTTCCTGAACAATGAAAAGCAAGACAGTAAATAAGAGTGCAAGAATTGCAAACTCAGAGGCCTATAGGACCCCGGTTTCAGAACAGAGTATAAGAGAAACAGGTTCAGCCATGGATGAGAATGGGGAGTAGTGGGGACTATGCAAGCACATATCCATCCAAAGGCTCCATTTGATTGTTGCCATGCAGGAAGGTGGGCCCCCGTGTTACTGTATCTTTTCTTTACCCCTAAAGAGAAACCAGTAATCCAGATTTTAATACAAAATACCCAATTTAGAAATGTCTATGATTAATGTTTAAAAAATTTTAACCATTGTACTGCTCACATAAAGCCTATCTGCAAGCTAGATACAAGCCACCAGTCTGTGCCCTCTGGCAAGTAGAAAGATTATGGATTTAGAGCCCATTAAGTCAAAAGTCAGGTTGTAGATCAACTATTACAACAGCTGTGCACTAAAAAGTCCCTTAGATGCTCAGATTTCTCATGCCCAATGAATACCATGTTACTTCAAAAGGTTATTATAAGGAGTAGGTAATATATGTAAATAGGCCCAGAATCTGATGCCTATTAAGTACTCAAATAACAGTATTCTTTCCTCATTTAGGGAAACAGAACACAGGTATAATACAACCATGTTATGATCAAGTTCATTACCAGTCCAGAATCAAATAGATAACGACATGTAAGCACGTTCTAGGTACAGGGCTCTGTGCCAGGTTCTCTGGGTCAGCAGTTCCCAACCCGGCAATTTGTCAGTATCATCAAAATCAACTAGGAGCTTGTTAAAAGTGCTGATTCCAGGGTCCCCACCCATCATTGTCATACTGAACCTGTGTTCTGTACATCTACACTCAGATTTAGGAGATCTCCCACGCAGTCCAAGAATCTGAATTTTAATAAGTTCCTCTGGGGATAATGTTTTACAGCCAGTTCGCACTGGTCGTCAGGTTGGTCATTTATGGAAACCAGGGCTCCAGGGAATGAGTCATTATTCAGTCTAATCAGAGAATGATGATATGCATATGCACACATGCAAGGAGCAGTGGTAGTAATTAACCAAAGCTCCCTAGATATAATTGTCTTTGATGAGGTGCTGACTGAGGGCAATAGACAGTAGGCTATTGACAAAGTACTTAGGGAAAACCAAATGGGAAAGGGAAATGAGCTGTGTCATGAAGCAAGATCAGGACTTTATCAGAAGCGTGCAGAACAGTCTGGCAGTCTAAACAGGCAAGGGAGCAGAGATGTGTAGACCTGTTTTTTTTTTTTTTAAGATTTTTTATTTATTTATTAGAGCACAAGCAGGCCGAGCGGCAGGCAGAGGGAGAGAGAAAAGCAGGCTCCCCACTGAGCAGGGAGCCTGATGCGGGGCTCGATCCTAGGACCCTGGGATCATGACCTGAGCCAAAGGCAGACGCTTAAGCCACCCAGGCGCCCCTTCATATGGTTTACATAAGTGCATACTACATTTAGACCATTTTATTGTAAGCAAGTTTTTGTTTGCTGTCATTTAACTTTCTCTTTTTTATACACACAATCCCCTTTTGCTGAAATTTCTGTTGAGAATGAACTTTGAACCTTACCATGAGCCCAAGAGGAACGCAGAAGGGTGCTGGGCTTAAAGTGCTCCAATATAATCAAAGTTAAGTGGAGGAAAAAGAAAAAAGAATCAGGCAGGAAGGTGGGAGAAAAACCAGAAGGGCTTTGGAAAGGAAGAAGGAGAGAGGAGGCCCAGAAAGCAGAGGGAGCTGGTAGGGCATCCAAAGTTTTGGGTGACCATGGGGGCAGGCTTCTTTAATTCTCTACAGCAGGATCCTCTGCTACTGATGGCTAAACCCTAGTGCTCACTGGGATTGTAGGTCAAGTAGAGAGAAGGGGACTTCCATATTAGTGATCAGCAGAGAGCCTCCCGGACTGCATCAGGAGATGCCTATGGTCGTCGGGGGCTGCTATAGCCTCAAGTTTGGGGCACTCAGCTGCTACCACAGAAGGCAAGGACTAGAGATCTAGTCTGTAGTGTTTTTTCTGCTCCTTGAAGAATTGTATGACCTTGAGCAGATTATTTGTCTCCTCTGCACCTCAGTCCCCTTTGTGAATAATAAAGGGGTTGCGTTAAGTCAGTGGTCTTCAGCTTTTGGTTTGGACCAAAAGCTGTACTGGACCCTTCCAACTCCATTTTATCTGAAGGACAGGTGGCTAAAGCAGATGAGGTTGGAGTTGCTCGGATTGAAGTGAGGGTGGGAGATGGGTTG